ATAAAAATCCAAAATAGAAAATATTTATTTTGGAAGAAAAGAAATAGTATATTCTCGGTCGTTAACATTTTGACCCAGATTTATATAATACTTAGAGTGGATATTTCCATTATGATATAATCACCTCCATTTGACAAGTAATTAAGAAAAAAAAATAATCCAGCAAGAAACAATTAGAATAAAAGAAACCACATGTGGTGCGCTCTGATTTAGATCGGGTGGTTAAAACCGAACTTTTTCCTTAAATATATTTTCCTATATATACCTGGACAAAAATAAAACCTTTTAAAAATTTTGTGAACTAACTTATATGTCCCGGATTTAGGAAATCCGAATGGGGGTGAAACTCGGATTTCGAAAATCCGAACCCCAATAAACTCGGATTATAAAAATTCGACTTTGTGTTACGTAAATCCGATATTAAGTTAATGATAAAAATTAGTGTAATTAATATAAATCTGAATTTTATAAATCCGTAATTATGAATAAAATATTAATTTCCGGATAGAGGAAAAAAAATATGTTGAAAAATTAAATTTGGGAAAAACCGGATCACGGTAATCCGAATATACGTAGACTCAGATTACCGAAATCCGAATATTCTCTGTTTTCTGAAAAAATGGGGACTCTCAGTTGGCTACAGACTCGGATTTCAGAAATCCGAATCCTTTACAAAAAGTCTGAGTTCGGATTTCGCAAATCCGAGTCTTTGTCAGAACTGAAAAAAAAAATTGGACTGGTTTTCACCAGTCCTAAACCTGTTTACAGCACCAACAACAATGAAACATTGGAAAACAGAAATTTAATGGCAACAAAACAATAAACGGCATTCGATTAACAACAAAACAGAAATTTAATGGCAACAATGAAACATTGAAGTTTCATACAAAAATCAATACAAAAACTACTTTAAATGTGCAAAATACATCAAATGTCTCATTTTTTCCCTTTTCCTTTATTGTGCGCATCCGAAGTGTATTTGTTTGGGCCCTGTCGGATCCTCTCTCCCCTCTTAAGATACGTGAGTATTGAACTCTGTTGTGGTTGCGACTGTCCACCAAACTGAGCCTCGAGTTGGGGTTGGGATTGGGACTCTCCCATGGTGAGAAATTTGACTCCCGGTTGTGGTTGCGACTGTCCACCAAACTAAGTCTCGGGTCCACCAATGTCAAACTGAGTCTTGGGTCCACCAGCGTCTTCAAAATGAGTCTCGACCTGGATGTGCGAGCCTCGAGAAGAATGTGCTTGATCCTCATTTTGTTGACCCTCAGTTTGTTATTGCGATGTCCGAGGGGGGATTGTGACCTTCCTCTTTCTTCCTCCTCCAATCTTATCTCTCGACCACAATTTCGCTTTTTTACCCGGCGGAGGTTGTGAGGGCAAAGATGGATCTTCATCAACCAGGATTTGGGTATCCTCCACCTCCATCTCATCATTTGCACCCAAGGTTAAAGCAGCATGTGTTTGATTGATGATATCGTCCAAATGCTTGTCAAGTTCTTCGTCTAGGAGATTATCATCTTCTCGTTTTTCTCTAAACCTCTCGGTACTCACGCGAATGTTGTTTAATACTTCACCCTGAAAAGAAATTGGGACGTTAATTAAGAGAGTAAAATTTTAAAAAAATAAAAATGAAAAAAAAAAAATGAAAACATAAGAAATAATAAAAGAAATCTAGAATGAACTCACATATAATTTCACGCGACTTGAAGAAGTCTCGTATCCTTGAGTTTCATAATTATTGAGATTGGATATCAGTCTGACAGTGTTCACCATGAACCATTCATAGTACCCCTCATATACAGAACCAGGATCTCCTTCTTCCAAATCTCGTAGCACGTACTCTTCTCTCCTATTCCAATTACGACGTACTGCGGAATAGTGGTCCACCCAATTATTGCTAGGATACCCAGACATACTGTGGACGTGATCGAGAAGGAATGCTGCGTTATCTTTAATCATGGGGTGCTTGGGAACATCCTGTATGTATCCAAATTGTCTTACGACTCTGCCCGACTCGTGGGGTTCCCTAATAGCCCAACAGAACATCCAACACCTGGTCGTCCAAATGGCTTGGCCTTGTGTACAGAAATCAGGGAGTCTATGAAGGACATGTGCATATGGTTGCCACAGAAACTGCACGAAAAGAAATTCATTAGATGGTACAACCGAAACAAAAAGAAAGGGGTAATTGATCTCAAAGTAAACATAAATACCAAACATGATATTGGATCTACACGGTTCATGAACTCTACATGCGAATCATTCTTGATCTTCACTACACGCCTACCACCGGGACTATCGAAAATCAAAGAAAGGTGGAGTTTCACGTGTGCTGGATCCCAACCAAGTGTCATACAAATCTTATTAATCAATCCCTCATATGACAACCGTTCTTCGACAAATAAACCCTCATCCGGCATATTCAAAAAAGTGTTGATGCTACCGTTCTCTATCACATACTTATTTGTATGATACAAATTAAGCATGTATGATACATTACGTGCCATTGATAACTGTTAAAAAAAAACATCAATAACTAATCATTTCTTAATAACAAAATCAACAAATACACCAAACATACTCAATTCATAATTCAAAAAACCTATAAAATACTAAAATACTTATAAATCAACTTCGATATCTCATTAACAACTATGATTTCTCATCTCTAACCTCAAAATCAACACCTAAAACATCCAAACAATCAACCAACATAAACCCTAATCTATCATACATCATTCTAACAAATCAAAATAACACAAAACTAAACTAAATAACATGGTTTTGCAATCTAACCTCTTTTAAATAACGATTTCCACGTATCTAGAGGCAAGAATGCATCAAAAACTCCAATTCGCCCTTGTTTGAGCTGCAAAAACAGAAAATTCGACTCAGTTCTCGAATGAGAACTGCCTGAAATTTTTTTTCTTTTATAGCACGTTAAACTCGGATTTAAGAAATCCGAGTCCGTAAGTAACTCGAATTTTCAAAATCCAAATTACATTAGTTTCGGATTTCATGAATCCGGATTTAGTCAATTCAGAATTATTTTATTCATTTTTTGGTCCTCCAATTTATGGCACATGCCTACTTCCACCAACCAAATTAAAGACAGACGGATTTCCAAAATCCGAATTCATAAACCATGATTACGGACTTCCGGTTTCTGAATTCAAAAATTTCGCTCCGCGATTTATTAATTTTTAATTATAGTCGGATTTCGCAAATCCGGCCTTCACTGTTCATTTAAGAATTTTTAAAAAACTATTATTCAACAAAATTTATGTAATTATTATTTTATTATTATATATAAACTCGGATTTGCAAAATCCGAATCTTTAATTTTAATTATAACTCGGATTTCAGAAATCCGAGGAATATAGTTCTGTCGACAAATATTCTGAAAATTTTAAATTTGTCCACGTTTATTTTAATTAATTTTTTTTGGGAAAAATCCCGGTTAAAACCTACCCCTAAATGTAAATTACAATGTAAGATTAAGTCATTTTTTATGAAACAATAGTGATAAAAGACAAAATGTGTTAGAAACCAAATATAATAATTAAACAAAAGCAGCTTTGTTCTGGCTATATATAATACGTTCTATAGTAGTCGTACACCTTTTGAAGTTGAGGTTTTAGCATGGCTGGCGGGGTTAAAACTTCAAAAGCAGCAACAACTATGGGATGATCAAGATGTATTCCAGATGGACAATTCAACAGTTGCAAGTCTTGGAACTCATATGGCAGCCCTTCAAGCAGATTGGGATAGACATTTTAACTCTCAAGAATAGTTTTTCATTTTTTGTGTGTTTGTAATATATAGTTTTTCATTTTCCTACTAAAAAATTATCTGTAGTGGGAAATGTTCATCAACTAGCTAATTATGTGATTATCTTTTGTATGATGTAAATGTGTTATTTTTTAATATAAAAATAAAAGTTTGTTTCAACGAAAAAAAAAAAAAAAGTATATTTCTTCTTAGATAACTTTAATATATTATAAACAGTTTGCCTATCCAGTATATATGGGTCGTTGTAGTATAGTGGTGAGTATTCCCGCCTGTCACGCGGGTGACCCGGGTTCGATCCCCGGCAACGGCGTTTTTTCTTTTATTTCCGTTTTTCACCCAATTCTTGGAAACTCTCAGATTTGAGGACTTGGGTATCAACTCCCGGCAACAGCACTATGTTCGTTATCATTTCGCCAATGTTTGGAAGCTCTCGGGTTTTGGTAATGTTGCAACTCTCATTGACCATAATGGGAAAGGAAAGTGACTCCGTCTCAGTTTCCATATTGCAAAAAGGATCTGGTCGTATCTTCCCCTATAAATACAGCCAAACTCCTCGTCTGATTGATCTCACCAAGAAAAACACTACGCACTTCCTCTTTTGTTTGGTCAGCAGGAACAGAAAAAGTTTTGCTTTTTGTTTTTCATCTAAAAGTCAATTCGTTCAGTTCGGATCAGCTCTCAAGCTTGTGACAATGTCGATGTTCCTTCCATTCATCAGCTGAAGTAATCTGCGCGGATTTCTTTGGGGACGACCTTGTTTTCCCTCTGCCGCCTAAGGTGAATAACACCAGCAGCAACAGGAAAAGTGTTGGCCTGAAGAAATTCCAAGAACAACAAGAAGTCCAAACTGTTACCTATGCTGGTGGGGAAAAGCTGCAGATCAAGACGCCAACCGTGAAGAAATTTCTGGGATTCTCCCCTGCCCTTGACGGGTTGGATTGTTTCGAGACTCTAGTCTCTTTCTATACTACTCGTGCCACCCGTAGTAGTAGCTCTGTTGATTTTTTTTCTTCCTTTGTATGTAGAGACGGAATTCAAAGTACTACTATAATATAATATTTTTGTTTTTAATTAGTGTACTAATTTCTACATATCACTGTGTTTTTAGTTCTTTCTCCATCAAAACTGTTCAGCAACTTACCTGAGAGGCAAAGACACACAGGGAAAGGAACCAAGAAAAGTAAAAACATGTTTACTTGTATTAGCCTTCGTTTACTACTACTCCCCACGATCCACTAAAACCTTTCGGAAGGGAAAAACGACAAACATGATGATCAATGTGGTAAAAAATCTGCCTTATTGCTGTAGGTACAGAGTTTTAACAAGTAAGAGCAAAATCATCTTAAAACACCCCTCTGGATCTGTTTCTTTCCCCCCTAAATCCTATATTCGCTATCAATTACAAAAAGTAAATGGATGAGTTGATGGAATTTCCTCTTACCCAAATGAATGATTGATGATATTAAACTAAACTTTATGAACAGTGTGGTTTTTCAATCTGTATAATGGCACTAAAACCTGGACCAGAATGAAGGTTGAACTCCAAGTCCCCAATGCGGTGCGATTCATAACGTGTGGACGAGTCTGTGTCCATTCCTGTACATTGAATCAGGAGCCTTCTGCATGATTGTTGCATCTTCATGAAGGACTGTGGATGCCTCTCTTCCTCAGTTCAGTATCAAATACTGCTTCTGCTGCAACCAATTTTTTGCAGTTACGGTTTTCCTGACTCTTCGAATTGTCTTGTTACGAACAGAAATCAGGTTTACACTCGCGAGATAGGGGAGAAGGGCGGGTTCACTAAAAAAGATGGCAAGACTGCTTCCATCCTTTTATTTTCTTTACATTTCCCTTCTTCTGTGACTGCATTCATCAGACTCTTGACTTCCTCCTCAATGAACATCCTCAGAGAATTGCTTTGCAGCAATTGCTCAGTTTGCTCCGGATGCACTCTGACGGAGGATTCCATTGCATGCAAGGCAGCAACACATATCGAGAATGCCTGCAATGTGGATAATTGCGCATGGAAATCCACTGCATACTGACCATCCTCTAGCACTTTCAAGTTCAAAGCTGGTGTATTGTCTCTTCTACCCTGTAAAAAGTTAGGACGGTGTAAGAAAGGATAACATATACAGGATATAGCAAACAGCATTTATATCATGATGCAGCAGACAGCACAAACTTCAGGAGACTATAACACATGAAACAAAAAACTAAGACTTGCCAAAAAGATTACCTGAACAAAAAGCTCCAATGGTTGGTGATTTGCTATCAGGAGTCGATCTTCAGAAATCCTGACATTCGGGTTGCTAAATATGTTGATGGGACATGCCATGTCCCAGCCACCACAGTCACAACCCCCACCTGACCTCCATCTATCCAACAGTGGCGAAGAGCATTGACTCTCGGTTGTTGGCAAACCATGACTACCTGATGGGACTACAACATTCACTTTTGCAGCACGTGAACAGTTGGAAACTCGTTCACGTCTTTCCTCAACATCAGAGGACTCGAGGACATTTAAAAGTGGTCTACCAATTCCTTTGTCGCCACTTTTGATTTTCAAGCTCTCTCTCTTTTCATATGGAACTTGTACAACAACAGCTCCTATTTGAAAATGTGGATTCAATTCCGCGGCAGCCAAAGGATGAAAACTTGATGGGTCAGAATGAAAACTCTCACGATCATGCTTTGTGTGTCCTTGTGCCTTAGACTTAACCAAGACTTCGTCCGAGTTATGACAACCCTGAAGTGAATGTTCATTAGAGACCTTTGATTCCTTAGAAACATCAGTTGGGCAACAAGGATTATCTCGAACTGAAACACTTTTTCTTTGTTGAGCAATATCATACAACACGAATTCTGTTACTATAGAATGATCAAAAGCTCCAAATTCTTTCGGTTCTGCACATAAATAACAGGATACCTGCATCTGGCCTAGCACGGACGATACTTTAAGGCTGTCTTTAGATCCCCATCCACTTGCATTACTTTTCCTCCTTTCATGAACTGAATGGAAAGTATATATCCAATTTAATCCATTTTCAGCTTTCCACGTCTTGGCCACTAGCACATCTTCAGGAAACTTCAGCGAGAACTCAAAACTTGGCAATCCTTGTTTTCTGTGCAACTTAAGAAGGCCATGTAAGTGAGCAGGTGTGTTCCGGACAAGATGAGGGTAACTTTCCTTTGAAGACCAAGATTCTGATTCCACTCGCTTTCTCATGTTTGAGAAATCATGTAGCAGAGACTTTCGAAAAGTCTTATTTTGGCTAATGCCTACATGCTTGCTTATATTTTCCCTTGGCGGCTCAACAGACGAACTAAGGGGGCTCCTCAGCGACTTTGATTTCACAAATGGATCCAACACTTTCCTAACAGGACCAAACCTGGTCTTTGGACTATTAGCTCTAGAGCTATCACTTTCAGAGTGAGAAGGAGAATGAGGCAGCGCTAACTTAGCTGATAAAGACTTGTGCAAAGGCATGGCAAGATCTCTTTCCAGCATGGTATTACCATCATTAACAGGGACGACTACTGGCTTAGATTTAAACATTGGGTCCTGCACTGGCGGCCTTTGTGCAGCTTCAGCATAATCAGTGCTACGTGAATGAATTGAATTTTCCAAAGAATTATCTGACGGGACACTTCTAATTTTAACAGGACAAAAAGAGAGATCAAAATGATCTTGAGAGTGCAACTCCTTACCAGCTTTACTGCTAGTTGCCACACTGAAGTCTGAATTAAAAGACATCACTGAGGATCGCTTCTGATCCACTTGCGAGTTGTCCTCGTCTGAGCCACACAGAGATTCCACAATTCCAAATGGGAGCAAATTGGCATTAGCATGTGACACTTCAATTTTTTTCCTACTTTCTGCCGGATCAGTTTTCCTCATAAACCTTACTTCTTTGGAGCTTTGATATACCGAGCCCCTCTTTCGTACTTCATTAAAGTCCAGAGGAAGAGCCCTGGATGAAGTTTTGCAGGACACACTACGAAAGCGATGAAAATTGATATCAGTAAAGTCTTCATTGGAGCAAAGTTCTTCCTTGTGGCATTCTGGATAACCTTTGACAGTCTTCTTATCGACTTTTGAGCGCCGCCGAGAAGATCGAAGAACTGTTGTTGGACTTCCATCAACTACACAGAATTTTTCAAAATCCAACTCCATGTCCTAAGTTCATTGATTACTATGAAACCTGCAAATCAGAACCAAAACAGGTTGGTTCAAACAGAAACAAATCCCAAAATGCAGATTTGCTAAATGAAATCCCAAGGCGGAAATTATATACGAGAGCTTAAACACCAATAAAAAATAAAAAATAAAAAAAAAAACAAAATCTACCATTTTAGTGACATAGATATTCACAAAAACTGAACAGGAGCAGAACTTCTCAAACATTGCAAAGTATCAGTGCAGAACACACAATCATTTAAACGCATGTCCACCACAAATGCAGTCATTACCACTACTAATACAGGATAAGAAGCTTAGCTTAATGAAGAAAATGCAAAGATCTTAGCCATAAAACAATGCCGAATAGTTAAGGAGGGGGTTGAGAAAAGGAAGAAACAAAAAGCTAACAACTAATTGAATGAAGATACCCATGTTTCAATTTAAACCAGGATCAGAATGAACAAGCTCTTCAAGAACCGTGTAATCCTCATACACTCTATGCAGCTTGTGTATGAACAAATCTTGAACATAAAAGGATAAAGAATGTCATTTTTGCTGCCTCATTACTAAATCTCACAAGCATAAGCAATCCGTGGGACACACAGACATTACTAAATTGCCAAAAGAGTGATTACAAAATCCAAAAAAATAAAAATAGAAATTCCTACACTTACAGCATAAGCCAAAAAAAAAAAAAAAAAAAAAACCAAGACATTGCTAAATAAGATTAACCATACCCCACACAGATCTCAGAGAAGTGAAGCCAAAGGAAGCAAACTCTCTAACAACCCATTAACCATAATTAATCAGTCCTTCTAATCTCTTCAGCTATAAGCCTCGTCCAAGAATAGCTCACTACAGAACACCAACCTAATCCAAAAAATGCTACCCACAAAAATGAGATTATCCTATCAATCAGGAAATAGAGTTAAACATAAGCAAATCCAAAACCACCCAAAAAGACCCACAAGTACAGCAGCACAGTAATAAGTGAAAAAAGGGAGAATCTTTACCAGATGAGGGAGTGGGAAAAAAGATGCAGGTTGAAGGAAGAGTGTTTTAAGGGGAAAAAGGTGCCTTGGTCAGGGTCACTCACATGAAGGGAGGAAGAACAGGGGGAAAGAGTGGAGTGTTGTTGAGGGACAGAGAACTGCCAAAGATTCAGTCAGTGTCCAATTAAAAATATAAAAATAAATTAAATAAAAAAAAAAAAGGCTCCTGTGTTCTTCTTTGACTATCATTTTCAGGATTCATATCATATGGTGCTGCTGTCTTCTATGTGCCTGTTTTTTGTGCCTTTTCTTCTCTTTCTTTTAACGTTACTTTTGAGGAGGCGACTACTACTCCTACTGGTTTTAGGGATGGCCAAACCACAAAAACACATAATAAACTCCCATTAAATGACAGCATTGTCCCTTTGATTAGAGCTGATTAGGAGGCTAATTAAAGGGGTGATTCTGAGATTTAAAAAAGGAAAGGACATAAAATAGTGATGGAATCAAACAAAACAGTAGTGTTGCCTGAATTTCTTATTTTATTGGGAAATGCAGGTCTTAGTTTCTCATGGCTTTTCCCGCCTCATAAATGTTAGTATTAAATTACTACTACTAAATTACTAGAATCAAGAAATGATTTTTTATTTTTTTTTCTTCCATTTTAAGTGTATGGTATTGAAAAGGGTTTTTCATGTCTTTGAATTTCGGATCCCTCCAAATCTGGAATTCAGATGTAGTAGTAGTACTTCCTCTCTCTCAAACCAACAAGAGGAAGTATTTTGGGATGAAATGAGTATGAAGAAATATGATTATTTTCCTTTGGGGATTTTTACTCTTTTTTTTTTTTTTTGTTTTGTCTTTCTCGTGAAGTAAAAGCAGTGGATCCAGCATGATTCAAAGTGACAAGAATGTCCATACTGATGTGACTTGCTTATGAGTCATGCCTTCATGTCCAATGGTCCTCAACCTACCAAGCAAGCTTTTGATGCAGCCATGTCCTAAACACTTATTTCATCTTAACAAAAAAGTGAATAAAAAGTCATATCAATAATAATAAATTTCATCTGTGTTGTGTATTTCTGATGCCGATTTTATCAATCAATGTACTCCTCCTTGTGGTTTGCATACACCTTCAGCTAGATTTTTTATTTGGAAATTACTCTTTTCGCTTCCAAATAATAATTTGCCATGTTAAACCAGATTGAAATTTGGGTCACCACTTTTCTTCAGTTATAAGTTAGACAGCACTTCACATTAATTTCTTCTGGGGAACATGCATTTCTTCCAAAGTTACGACTCCTGTACTTCAAAGATATTATACCTGGCTTTTGAACCCAATATGATAACCTTCCCGCCTGCATTTATCAACTAAACCTATAAAAATGTTTATATCGACGATTGGGTACGAGAAAATTAGTGGTCCAGAACACTACCAAACAAGACTCATAAATTACTAGCGATGCTACTGAAAGATGCTTTTTTCCTGAATCCTATTCATCGTGTCATCTATAACATAACTTTCTGATCTACACGTTTCCTATCAGTAGGTAGCACAGTCGATTTTATTAAGCTCTCACATCTAATATTTCAGCTGTCCACCACAGGCACGCTTGCCTCAGTTGCCTTCTTAGGACCATCTTCCTCCAATTTGTCTCCTCCACGGGGACTGATCAATTTCTTTTCGACCTCTTCAAACTTGGCAGTTGCAGAAGGTACAGTCCCAACCGTCTTAGCCGAACTAGCCTCATCGATCGATAAAGTAGACACCTCATCTCTGGAAGCATACCACAAGTTCCCACAAGCAATGCATTCCAGCTGAAACAAGAAGCCAACAAAAACATTAAGTTGACAGAAGCGTTGTACTAAGCAAGTTGCAGACCATGTACAAAATGAAAGTACACCAATCCTCCAACTGGGAACGCCACATGATAAAGCAATAAGCCTTCTGATTATAAATGCCACGAACCCTCCCTCCCACAACAGAAAAAGGCATAGCATATAAGGATCACATCAAACCTATTAGACATAGCCTCAGCTTCACAGGCAAATGATCCAAAAAGGCAACAGTTTCCACCATAAAACAAAAACCACATCATTTTCAACCAAAGCATACAGAATGGTTTGAGGGAGATCATGCTAGTGTTCTAGCGCTTCCAATATACCTAGGATTGGATCACTCACCTGTGAAGCCGAGGTTGAGTGTATTTGGGTTTGATATGATCCTTATATAAATCAAAAGGAAATACAGTTTGCACCACAAAAACAAAATAAAAAGAAAGAAAACAAAACCTATCATATTTAATCAAAGCATATGAAATGGAAAAAAAGGCAGAGCATGCTGGTTTTCTAGCTCTTCCAATACACCAAGCGATAGACAGTGTTATGCAAGAGTCTAGTAAGTACCTGATAGCGATCCCCATGGCCAGTCTGAATTATTTCTCTAACACCTACATTTTTCTCCCTGCACCTTCTGCAGCGAGCATCTGTCATCTGCATCATAAGCCAAAGGCATGAATTAAGAATATAAATCTTTTAATTGAAATGAACGGAGAAAGTCCCATCATATTATTGAAGAAATTCTACAAAACTAATTGGGATAGAGAAGCTTCTAGTTTTCAGGTTTAGCAAAAGTCTTATCTCCAAAACCATCTAAAAATTACACTCTCTGGTTTCAATGTAAGCCACTGAACAAAATAAAAATCAGACAACAGTGGCTTGTACTTCTCAATCATCACAATCAAACAAAAATCTCAGATTAAAAAAATACCTGTAGCCGCTCAGACTCCTCAGGTTTCCTGCGTGCTATCTCCTCTGCCGTCAAACCCTCCTGAACCATAACACGGCAGATTAATAAGGTAAACATATCAATCATAGCTTTCATCGCATTAATGCTGGAATTATAAAGGAAAAGGAACTACTAAAAGTTAATTCCCGTTGAAGCATTGAAAGGGTACAGTCCAGCTGCTCCACAAACAAATAGAGTGAATAAAAAAAGTCATTGATTATTAAATGATAAATGTGTTGACTAATATACCCCTATTCAGTGCCCCACAATACACCTACCTCAACTCCTTTCCTGTCACAGTATAATCAAGGTGAATCTGTATAATCTACAGAGAGAGGAAATACTAGATTACAAGTACACTATAAATCTTCATAACAATACAAAGTTGACCAGACCAAGAAACTAGGATGATATTTGCAAACCATTTAAATCATCCAAACAATATCCTGCAATCATGAAATGGATAAAGGTACCTTTAATTCAGCAGGCGTCATGTTTGAAATTTGCAAAGGATCCAACTCTCCCTTGAGAAGTCGCCGGGCTAAATAGGCATTGTTCTGCAGAAAGTTCGAGAATAGCCCAAGAAAGCTTAAAAAATGTACTGAACTTTTACTTAAGATCTTAAAAATGTTAAGCCCTAAAAAATAACTTCCCAAGTTTCATATTCAGTGAAGAAATTTAACATCTTGTAACGTTGAAACAACATGATTTCAAACAATAACAATCAACCTTAATTTGGGAAATGAAGTTATGGACCTATCAGAATACAGGGAAATACTTTACCTTGAGATTGAAAGATAATTGCCTCATCTTTTGATTATACTTTTGAAAATCAGCAGACAGAGCCTCATGAGAAGCTTTCTCAAGTGCTGTTACAGCAGGAACAGCTCTGTCCGGCCAAGAAATGGATGGAACCTGGAAAAAAGAACAAAAAAAAAACATTGTTTGATTTAAAATAACTCCCACTCAGGACCAACTCTAACAAATCTCACTTCTAAAACTGACCAAAACATTCTCCTTACATCTACTTTCTTGCTCTCGTTTCCACTCTCGGGGGCTCCTTTGCCACCTTGTCCATCGTCCTGACTGTCATTGGCCGAGACACATACAAATTGAATCGCTTGTAGTAGTTTTTCCAGCCACCTATCCCTCTGTGTTTCGCCTGTCAGTGCCTTGAACTTTGAAAGAATTGTAAAATACTCGGATGTATTAGTTGCAGTACTTCCCGGTGTTTCAACTTTAAGAGACTGCCCTGATCTTGTTGGTGCTTCCTCATCTCGAGAAACATCCAGCGGGGTCATGCTCTTTTTCCTGAGAAGCCTCTTACTCCTTATCAGGTTTTCTTGATCAGCAGCAGCATTATCTGGCTCAATGTCAGGAAGATCTACCAGGCGTGACATTGTCTTCTGAACAAGGAGATCAATCTCTTCCTGTTTGTTATCCTCATAATCTTTATCAGTAAGCTTGAAAAGCCTTCGTTGTTCAGTATCATATACTCTTCGAACTATGAAACCAGGATGCTGCTTTCTACTGGGAGTCTGCTTGTGAATAGGAATAAAATGCACCACGCACTTGTGCATTACAGATTCTGCAGGAACCTCATCACGATGGAAACTGTAGAATAGCTCTCTTGTATCACTAGATTCCCAATTTCCACCACCTTTCTTCTCTGCCTCTTCAGGACGATAAAACCACTGCCCGGTTACCATCATGCTCCCATCCCCCTTCTGAGAGATATCCTGCAAACAGGATAACATTTTTCATTGGCAAGCTGGAGAAGTCACAACAATGAGGAAAAAGTGATTGTCTTTAATCAAAAAGCAACTATGAAAGGCAACAGTAACCTTCTTTGATCTAGCACCATTATCCCACAATAAAGGCAACTAAAAGAAGTATTGTGACGTTCCCATGTAAACTGTAGAGTTAAGACATTTTTCCCAAAAACAATTACTCGAGCTATTGAAAAGGAGATTGGTTTAAACTAGGGAAAAGAGCTCAACACCAAAATAACAGTTCCAAAGCAAGTAGAAAAGAGAAAAGCACATAAGGCAGCAAGCCAGAAGTTCATCGGGAACCTATTCCAACACATCGTTTAGTGCCAAGATTCGTGAAAAAAAATTCCTGATGTTTGCACTACGATTCCAGAACTTACACCAGTTACTTTGAAGAAACCAGACAAGCACATTTCCTATATTCTCCATCCATGACATTGTGAACAAAGAAGGGGATGTATACTTACCTTAATAATGGCCACATATGGCTTCTGATTTTTCTCCTCAGGAACCAACAGCACAGGATCCTCCTAAACAAAATCACAAAATCCATTATGAGTCTACAATTCATGCACAAATTGTAGTTTCAGAAAAAGGACCACACGGGATGGGCTCCCAAGCATGTAAAGTTCTCTCAACAAGGTAGATCCCGATATAATCTTCAAATGAACAGAATTCGAATTCACTCTTACACAGGCCCAGTTACTTGTTCTTTGCAATCAGTAAAAACTTACCAACGCTTGGAAGAACATATCAGGGGAACTGACATAGAGATTACACCCATCAAACTAATATCGTACACATACTTCACATTCCCTTCCGACTTACCATTAGGACCATAACAGAGACCTCTAATTCATTTCCCATATGTTAATTCAATCATCAAAACGATAAGACGGATGTCGATTGAACATCAACCCAACACACTTGTTGAACCACTTAGTCACACAACCCAAACGCAAACTTCCAGAGAGAGTGAGCAGTCTGCAAATAATAAGATCACAAATTTGTCTTGAAACTAAAACTACAATTACGATTGTTAATTCGATAAAGGTTCCATTTTTTTCACATAAGCACGAATTCGCATGTTCACAAACACCAATCATGGGGAAAAAAAAAAACCCCCCACGAAACAAAAATCAAAACGATGATCAACAAGGGGAAATTAAAAAGATCCTCATTTCCGTAATTTGGGAGTAAATTCGGAGAAAATCACTAACCAGATCATAACGAAGGCCATCATACTCGAAGGATTTGTAATGAGTTCTCCGGCCCCTACCTTTCCCAGAGCTCCTAATCACTTCGCCCAAGGGCTTGGCGTCCTCGAGAACGGGCTCCTCTTCCTCGCCGTCACTAGCAGCAGCAGCAGCAGCTAGGGCTTCTTCTTCTTCGGCGGAATTCTTGTTCTTCTTCTTACTCTCGTCTTCTTGTTCCTCTTCTTCCTCATCTTCGTCCGAGAGCTTCATTCTCTTCCGCCTCCCCTCCTCGTTGGTACTCCGAGGTGCCGGAGGAGCTTCGTCCTCGTCGTCGCTCGTCGCAAGGAACCTACGATTTCCCATTTTCCTCCTCCAATTGTACAGCCAACTGTGTGTGTGTGTGTGTGTGTGACTAGAGAAACAATTCACAGAAGAAAACCGAAAAGGGGCGTATACCTATTAAAGCGCCAAGTGCAAGAGACGGTGTAATTAGATTATAGTACTACTGTACTGTATAAGGACAAAGACAAGTTAATTTTACGGAGTATTTCAGAAATCTAACATTATCATTCATTTTCATTGATACCCCATCCCAAATAAAGATTATATAACAAAATGAATTATTTTTTTTTAATACACATAAATATTTACTTGGGTAGAGGAATTTCATTAACTTGTTGGATTCCGTCCAGGGTAAGATATGAAAAATAAAATCGGAAATAAAGTGCCAATTTTTTTAAAAAAAATTCATACTTGCATTCGACACTTAGACTTAAATAACGTGATGGAAAAAGAACATTCAAAACGGGGGTTCAATTCCATAGTTGTTACACCCAAGTAAATAAAAACATGCTTTAATTTCAACAATGATAAAAAGTGAAAACTACAACGATGGTTCCTATACTTCACCATCTAGGGAATGTATGATGTATAGGGAGTCCCCAAATAATGAAAACTCAGGATATCTTTCACAAATGTCCGAGAAAATACATTGCGGAAATGGAAATGTTCCAACTTCCAATCTCTGGACACTGGATCACCTCGTAGTTAACATTACACTCGAACGAAAAAAAGTAAGAACACAAAAGGAATGGGCTAGTTAAGTTGGTCATTACGCTCAGAGATCTGCTTTAAGTGAATTAGTTCAAGATTTTGTCTTTTCCTTTAAAGTAGTTAAGCTTAACTTTAATTTTGTCAATCCGAACTAAGAATCACACTGGCAGAAGAACGCAAAATGAAGAAATCTATTATAAAAAAAAAAAAACTGACCACGCAGTTTCATATATAATGCTCGTTAGAGAGGATGAACAAAACATGCACTCCGGAGTTAGGTAACCGCCTCCAGAAATTATCTACTCTAATTTTGATTTTTCTTAAATTTCATTTACTGTGTTCTTTTCAATAAAATAAAATTTTTAATGTATTTTTATATTTATTGTATTCCTTTCAATTATTTAAATCATTTTTAAGATTTTATTTTCAAATAAAAGATTAAAAAAATCAAAATATTTTATAATAAAAACATAAAAAAAGTGTTACACATGAAATTACCGCATGAATAGAAGAAAATTAACAAAGTCTAGGGCAGAAGACCTTGATTCAGATTGGATTGTATTATTTCTGTTTTTCCTCAATTATAATCGTGTCTGAAGTTCTGTATAAATAGAACTTTTTTTACAGAATGGTAGAACTAAACTATAACCGTAACACTAGTCTAGTTTACAACATATTTTTGGTAATGATCAAAAGTAATCAATCCTCAAGATCGAGATACTCTCGGATTCCTTGGCAATCAACCATATCTCATCTTTGAATGTGATTATCCTTATGACTCCAATCTCCTTATTACTCCTCACATTCGGATTTATCAATGTTGGAGATGACTTGATTCTGATTGATATTGTCAACATCCCCCCTCAAACTGGGCTGGGGCAAGAGGCACAGTTTATTGCGGAGAAATGGAAGAGCCGCTTTTGAAACCGGTTTGGTGAAGATATCAGCCACTTGTTGATCCAATGAGACATGTTTGGTGACAAGAAACCCTCGAGCAACTCGTTCTCGAACAAAATGGTAGTCTAGCTCAATATGCTTACTACGAGCATGGAAGACAGGGTTAATCGTCATGTATAAAGCACTGAGATTGTCACAAAAACTGACTGGTGGAGAGGAGACAGGAACACGAAGATCTTACTCAGCTTCGGTACTGGAGCGAGAGACAGTGGGTAGTTTTTTTGCACACCATGAAATAAGGTTGGAGCCGAAAAAGGTGCAGTATCCAGTTGTGGATCGGCGAGTCATTGGGCAGCCAGCCCAATCAGCGTCTGAAAAAGCAGTCAAGGTAGGGGAAGAGTTAGCACTTAGACGAAAAACATAATATATCGTGCCTTTGACAAACCGAAGAATCTGTTGAACAAGCCTCATATGAGCAATAGTCGGAGAATGCATAAACTGCGAAACATAGTTGACACTGTAAGAAAGAACAGGACGAGTCAAGGTTAAATAATTTAGAGCTCCAACAATACTCCGAAACTATGTAGGGTCATCAAGAGACGGAGAATCAAACAAACAAGTTTAGAGTTCAAAGGTGTAGGCATCGGCTTACAATCTAAAATAGACATATGTGCCAAAATAGTGTGTGCATATTGTGATTGAAAAAGAAGCAAACCATCTAGTTAATGTGTAACCGAAATGCCAAGAAAGTGATGAATACGACCTAGATCCTTTATGGAAAATTCAGAACATAACACATCAATAAATGAAGTAATGAGAGATGACGACGAGCCAGTGAGAAGCATGTCATCGACATAAATCAAAAGAACCAAGCTCCCCTGAGAACCATGAAAAGTAAACAATGAAGGATCTGCCAAACTACAAAGAAAGCCGTAAGAGATTAGAAATTAACTTAATCGATCCAACCAAGCTTGCGGTGCTTGTTTCAGGCCATATAGAGCACGTTGAAGTTTACAGAAAACGAAGGGTCAGCCATACCCGGAGGCTGGGACATGTAAAGATCCTCAAAAATATGACCATGGAGAAAAGCATTTTTTACGTCAAGTTAACGGATAGACCATTTGCGAGCTAGGGCAACCGAAAGCACCAACCAAATCGTACCGGGCTTAATCACAGGAGAGAATTTTCCCGTGTAATCAATGCCATGAAGCTGATGGTAACCTTTGGCAACGAGACGAGCTTTGAGATGATCCAAGGTGCCATCAGGTTTCAACTTCTACTTGAACACCCATTTCGACTCAATGATGTGCATATTGGGCAAGCGCGGAACCAAAGTCCACGTGTGGTTTTGATGGAGCGCAGCTAGTTCTTCAAGCATCGTAACCTTCTAGCCCGGATGGGCTAAAACGGTCTTAACAAACCGTGGTTCGCTAGGAACGGATGGAGAGACAGAGACTAACAGCCATATTTCGGATTTGGTTTAGCCACACCAGCCTTGGAACGAGTAACCATGGTGTGAGTGGGAAGAACAGTGGATGAAGGGGCTGGTAGTTCAACCAAGAGCTAGAAATCAGGTGATGAAGAACAAGTAGTAGAGGATGGTGAAGCAAGTGAATCAGACTCAATGGATGGCGATTCAACAACGGAATTGGAAGACGGGCTGAGTAAGGACACAGGTGACGGGGGAGATGGAGTGACAGCAACCGAATCAAGAAGAGCTGGCGTGGATGGAATTGATGAAGGACGTGGAATATCAGGTGATGAAGCATCCTGAGAAGAAGAGACAGAATTGTTAGTCTCCAAACATAACCAATTATCAAAAATATTAGTGACATGAGGAATTGAGATAGATTGAGAGCGAGACTTAAACGGGAAAACATTTTCACCAAATACTACATGCCTAGAGATGAAAAATTTTTGGGTTACAGGATCATAGCATTTGTAGCCTTTATATTTGTCACTATAACCAACAAACACATAGAGATAGATTTTGGATCAATTTTTTTTTTTTTTTTGTATCCCAAACATACGGAAAACACTTAGAACCAAAAACGCGTAAAGACGAATATTTAGGTTCTTTTTTTATGCAAGTTAAAATAAGGAGATTCAAACTCAATAGACAAGGATGGAAGGCGATTGACAGAGTAAACCGTGGTGCTAAACGCTTCAACCCATAAAAAAGGAGAACATGACCATGAAACATCATAGTCATGCCAAGCTCGCGAATGATTCGATTACGACGTTCAACCACGCCGGTTTGCTCAGGAGTATAAGGACATGAGATTTGGTGAATGGTGCCTGTTGCAAGAAAATGGGAAGATAATTGTGAGTTTACGAATTCACCGCCACCATCAGTGGAATATTTTGATTTTTTTTATTGAATTGCCTAGCAACATATTGTTCAAAACCAATGTAAGCAGAGGTGAAATCCGACTTATTTTTCAATGGAATAAGCCAAGTGTATTTGGAAAAATATCAACAAGACAAGTATAAAACCGAAAGTTTCCAATGGATAAAATAGGAAGAGGGCCCCATAAATCACAGGGTATCTTATCAAACACAGAAGTAGACGAAAAAACTGACTGTTTAAAGGGAAGTTTGCTAAGTTTCCCTAACTGACAACTATCACAAAGATGACTACAACATAAGGAACCTGTAACATCAATGAGTCCTTTATTTTTTAAACAAAAAACGGTAGATATTTGAGGATGGCCGAGCGGTTGATGTCATAGTGAAGTACTGTCGGATTGAAACCAATAAGAAAAATGCGCCTTGGGAGTATTTTTAATGGTGTAGAGATCATCCTTCCTTTGACCCTTGAAGATCATATACCTGTCTTACGATCCTTTATCCAAAACAAATCATCAGAAAATTCACAGTAACCAGAAATTGAGTTGTTAATTGACTAATTGAAAGTAAATTTTTCTTTAAATTAGGAACATACAAGACATTAGATAATGAAAGAGAATTTCGATTTTGCTGAAGAGTAGAATTACCAATGCCCGTAATCAGAATACAGAAACCACCCCCAATCATGACAGAATCAGTCCCAAAATAAGGTTGTAAATTTTGAATCATACCTGGAACACCGGTCATGTGATTGGTGGCCCGTGTCGGAGGACCACTCATGATCGGTAACCGAATTGTCAAGGGTTAAAGCCGCCAGAGCTTGAGGCAAATCAGCACTAGATGATGAAGGTTTCGGAACCCACCAACAAATCTTAGCAATGTGGCCGGAACCGCCGCAATATTGACAAATCTGATCGCGGTACATCTCACGTTCTGAAGCTGTCATGGGACGCTGACCTGGAGGAGGTGGTTTACGCAGTTGAGTCTGTTTGCCAGCAGCCTGAATTGGAGGATTGGAAACTTGTTGCGCTGGGAAGCCGCGACCTTGGGAGGTAAAGCGCGGACTAGGGTTCCTGGAAACCGAAGCAGGAGGTGATTGCTTCTGATTATAAAAAGCCAGATGAGGGGCATGGGTTGCAAACGGATTATCAGCCTGGGTGGAAAACCAACTACGACGCTGGTCCAAATTTTGAAGGTGAGAGATTAACTCAGAATAAGTAGGTCACGGCGACTTGAGCATGGTGGTCGTGAAGGTTTCGGATTGAGGTCCAAGGCTGTTGAG